TCTTATACACATCTAGATGTGTATAAGAGACAGGGGGGGAGGAGGGGGGCAACAACGGCTCAGTCAGAAATGAGTTTCAAATCCGTAAAAAGAACATGCAATGGCTAAAGATCAGGCGCCGAGTTCGAAAAGGTAAGAAAAGCAGCACGGCACTTTGTAATAAGCGGGGATGTCATAGGTACAGCAGAGGGTCGCGGCGTCCAGATGGCCTGAGTTCAAAAAAAGAAAAAATGAACCACTACTTTTTGACTGAAACGCACAATGTCATGGCGCTTTGCCTTTTTCAAACTCAGGCTGTGTCATCCTTGCGCAGCAGCCATGCTAGTCTTCTCTGTATTGTTCCAATCCTTTTAACGGATGCCTCGGAGGACACCAATTATACAGCTACTAGTGCCTGGCAAATTAATATTGGCTAAATGAAAAAACAGGTACTTCAAAACAGTGAAGAAGATAGGCATTGTACTGGACTGAACCTCCATATGAGTCCAGTTTTATGCCGATCATATAAAGCACGTACACGTAAAATAAAGGGCTGAAGAAACAAGTCGGACTCCACGGCTTAACACGAGAAAATGCTTCCTTACAACTCCTTGTATATTCAACACAGAGGGAGTTGAGGGCTGAAGTTGGGGGATTGGAATGTGCTGAGGATAGTAATATTCAGAAGTTCATCTTGTTGATCAATGCATTCTTATGCTAGCCATTTATTTGGATGTTTGATTTGGACTGCAGCATATGGGACAGATAACTACGACCGAGTCTGTGATGAGCTGGAGCACATCGCACTATCTTGAGGAAAGTTTTCAATCCTCATCAGCGCTCTCGGGTATGCTCCTCGTTTAGTTCCATTTCACCGATAGCCCAGTAATCTTGTGAGTTCTTGTACAGATACTTTAGAGTATATTTATAGATTCTGTTGAGTTTTTGTACAGAGTCTTTTGGGTGTTTTTTTTTGCAAATAAATAGGCTCTATTGGTCTGGAGTATGGTCAGTCAATAGGTCATGCTATGATTTGGTACGCCTTTTTGACTGCACTGTTCATAGGGAGTACTGCAAGTGGGCAAGTTATGGGATTTGTTTGTGGCCTTACGGCTTGCTAATAGATGTTTGACTTTTTGTTGTTACCAACGATGTAGAGGTGAATGCAAGGGAAAAGGAGGTGATTGATCTGATAGTTCTCTCGGGTCATTATTGGGACATGCGGGAATCGGTTTTGTGGCAAATCTTGTGTCAAGACACCGAGGACACGGTCTCTTGACATAAGATTTGCCACAAACCTGATTCCCTGATGTCCATCAGTAATGACCCAAAAGAACTATCAGATCAATCACCTCCCTTTCCCTTGCATGCACCTCTGCATCACTGTTAACAGCAGAAAATCAAACATCCATTGGCAAGTCACAGGATGCAAACAGTTAGCAAATCCTAGAACTTGTCTACTTGCAGTGCTCCCCATGAACTTACGTGACCTATTGACTGACCATACTCCAAACCAATGGAGCCTATTTATTTGCAAAAAAAAACACCGAAAAGAGTTTTTACAAAAACTCAAACAGAATATATAAAAAAAAAAAAAAAAAAACTCAAAAAGAATCTGTGCAAGAACTCACAAGATTACTGGGCTATCGGTGGAATGGAACTGAACGAGGAGCATACCGGAGAGCACTGATGAGGATGGAAAACTTTGCAGTGCAACAGCAAGCATAGTTGCAGTGAGTACAATGCCGCCTCCCTTCGCTGGACTCAAGAACGGAGATGACTAAATGCCTACGGGGTGAAGGAAGGGTAGACTGGTAAGTTGTCGCTTATGGTTGAGTAGGGCATTCTCATGCAAGGTTTGTGTTGAAGGAAGGGTAGACTGGTAAGTTGTCGCTTATGGCTGAGTAGGGCATTCTCATGCAAGGTTTGTGTTTTCTTTTTGATAGTTTGTGCCGGTTTACTTGTTTGTTTTAGGGTTAGAGGTACTGATTAGAGCTACTTAGGGTATAGACTACTATAGAGCTGAAAACTGGCAATTTGCCCATGGTTTTTGTTTCAAGCTGTGGCGGGGATAGGTTTGGCCGAAAGTGCCTTGCTTAGCCCATATGGCCGCAGCGAATGATGTGAGGGACGCCTGGGCCGCTTCCCGGCTATATGAAGATACCTACCTTTCTGAAAGGGGAGAAAAAAAAAGGGTAGGAATTTATATCTCGTTGTACAGAGGGACAACAATTTTGATTGCCTTGTGAAACAACAAGCATAGTTGCAGCGAGTAAAATGTGGTGTGGTATCCCTTCGATGGACTCAAGGACGCAGATGACTGCAGATGCGCAACTTATATAGGCACAAATTCAGGCTAAATCTAAATGATGCACGGGGTGGACGTAGGGTAGACTGGTAAATTTTTGCTTGTGCCTGTGAGCATTGATGGCTTATGGCTGTGAGTGTCGATTGGGGTTGGTGCTGCTTTTCTCACTGATTTGATACTGTATACTTCTGAATATCTGTCTCTTATACACATCTAGATGTGTATAAGAGACAG